CTATAGGAAAATGCAAAACGCGCATAAAAAAGTTTTCACTTAAAAAAATAAACAAAATTAAAGTGTACACTTAGATTAGCTTAGACCAGCACACGAGGATAGCTTCAGCCATATTTGGTAATCATCGAGGAGTTGTATATACGGCAGTTCTAATCTGTGAGTTCTAACCTTTACATGTGAGTTCTAACCTTTACATGTGAGTTCTAACCTTTACATGTGAGATCTAACCTTTACATGTGAGTTCTAACCTTTACATGTGAGTTTTAACCTTTACATGTGAGTTCTAACCTTTACATGTGAGTTCTAACCTTTACATGTGAGTTCTAACCTTTACACGTGAGTTCTAACCTTTACATGTGAGTTCTAACCTTTACATGTGAGTTCTAACCTTTACATGTGAGTTCTAACCTTTACATGTGAGTTCTAACCTTTACATGTGAGTTCTAAAGGGGACCCTACACGGTCAATCGGAATTGCACTAATGACGTTCCGAATTGTCGTGTAAGGTAGTGAATGAAGTACTGATGGTGGTGCGCTGCGGATTTCCGAACATCCGGAAATCAAAGGTTCATTCACGAGAAGTGGAGGGGGGACTGAGGTAAAAGTAGTGGGGAGACTAACCATACTGCTGGATAGGTTAGGTTACCTAGGCCTCACAACCATTATAAATTTCTGATTTTCATTATATGTAAATAGTTAAATAATTTTTCATATCCCTTGTTTATAATTTTAAACCATCTTCAACTATTTCTTTTAAATAGTCAAGTGGGCAACAAATTAAAAAAAAAAATGAGGAAACTTCACAATTTACTTTAGGAAAAAAAAAAACTTTAACGTTGTGTATATTTATCAGTTCTTTTCCCATTTTCCTCAACAAATTTATTATTTTCGCAATACCTTTCCTTAATTTTTGTAAGTAGTAGACTTATATTTTACTAACTTTTGTCAAAACGATTTTCTATGAGACTAACCTTACTACTAGATAGGTTAGTTTACCTAGGTCTCGTTATTAAGTAAATAATTTCATAAAGTAAATAGTTGTTTATATCCCTAGTCTATATTATTATTAACCATTTTCAACTATTTTTTCTTTAAATAGTCAAGTAGGCAATAAATTGGAGAGAAAAAAAAGTGGAAACTTCACAATTTACTTATAGAAAAAAAATCTTTAACTGTTGTGTTTATTTGCCATTAATTTTTCCATTTTTCTTAACAAATTGATTATTTTCGCAATACTTTTCATAGATGTTTGTATGTAGTTGACTTATATTTTTCTAACTTTGGTCTAAACGATTTTCAGGCACTAGGAAGTAATTATTATATCTCCGTTTTTCTCTTTATGCCCAATATCATAAATGACAATGTCCAAATAAGCATATCTATGCTGTTTCTTTGTTTACAACTGCGCTAAATTGGTTCAGCACGATCTAACGCATAAGTAATGATCAGTAATGATTGAACGTGTAAGGGTCTTCATGATCAAAGCGATAGCGGGCAATCTTGGAACTTCTTGTGACGTTCATTCATGAATTACCGTGTAGGGTCCCCTTTACATGTGAGTTTTAACCTTTACATGTGTTTTGTTTGCAAAATGATTCGTGTTATCTCAAAATAGTTTTAAGCTACCGAAATCTGACCAATAGAAGGATAACGCGATTGTTAAATTGTTGACAGAATCGTATGAAGTCATCATTGAATAAGCCACCATTTTTGTTCTCATGTTGGCATTAGAGACATCTTAGATATTTTGCCGTCTCAACCAACCTTCTGCAATCTGCCTATCTTTGGCTATTTCTTTCCTATTATTTGCATGCAGCTGTATCTCGATGTTGGCCTTCCGTAAGGTCTTTAGGCATTAATTGTTGAATGGAGGCTTTCTGATAGATTGCTCCGAACAGCATGTACCCATCTCAATCTTGGCTTCAATCATGAGATATTGATTGACAAGTTTCTCTGAACTCCATTCTTGCTCTTTCAGTCCCATGTGTTAGTAATCTGATCCTAAATAGCTTCGGTTATTTTCCGAAGCATTTTCTTCTCAAACTTTTCAACACTTCTTTTAAGGGTGTTTGTTAGTTTGCAGGTCTCGTAGCCTGATTTATTAGATTCATATTCATTTATTATTTATATTAGAACTGGCTTTATCATAGCATTGTATACCCTTAATTAGAGATTTATAGATATATTAATACCTTTAAAAGAGAGAAGGATCTTTTTGTATTTTTTTATACGCTGGTATATGTATGGTCATTCAAATACATTTCCTTCGGTCATTCATTAACATAATTTTTTAAGTTATCTCCTTCACTAATTCGCTAGCCAGTTCGAATTTTAAAGAATTCAGAAGGCTTAACGAACCCGAACGTCTTTAGGCTTCGTCTAAACCCAACCCCGCCAGACCAGCCTTAAAGCAATTTTCCCATCTTCGCTTTGGTCTAAACCTCGGACGCTTGACTGTCGGTACAGCGCATATTAAATTTTTAGGAATTCTATCGTTACTAACCCCAGCGATTTTACATTCCCATTTTATTAGCCTTAACTCAATCATCTCAATTATATTAACTGGAAACAGGTCAAACAATTCGGTGTTGTATAACCGCCTAAATTCTCCGGTTGACTAATCCATCTTCAGTCCGAATATTCTGAGCAATACTTTATTTTCAAAAACTTTTAGACGTTGTTAGTCTCTTACTGTAAGCGGCCGCGTTTCGCATCCATAAAGAATCCTAGGTAGAATAATGGTTTTGTAAATTCTAATTTTTAGGTTTTGGGACAATAGGCGAGAACTGAGTAGTTTTGACAAAGAAAAATAATAAGTCTTTCTCGCCTTCAACTTAACCTTAACAACCCTTTAAATTTTTTCTAGTAATCGTGGACCCTAGATATCTAAAATTCTGTGCGAGTTCAAACACATTCCCTTCTTCAGGACGGTAAGTGGCCAAACTGCAAAAATGAATTAAGGACCTCAAAACATTTTATTTTGCTTGTTATTTTTCTGTGACAAAACTACTCAGTTCGCGCCTCTTGTCCCGAAACTTAAAAATTAGAATCTATAAAACAATTATCTTGCCTACAGTTCTTTATGGATGCGAAACTTGGCCGCTTACATTAAGGGATGAGCAGCGTCTTAAGGTTTTTGAAAATAAAGTATTGCGTAGTATATTCGGACCGAAGAAGGATGAGTTAACCGGAGAGTTCAGACGGTTACACAACGCCGAATTGCGTGAGCTGTATCCGGGTAATATAATTGAGGTAATTTCATCGCGGCGAATCAAATGGGCTTGTAAAGTTGTTGGGCTTAGTAACGAGAGAATTCCTAAAAGGTTAATATTTGCTGTGCCGAATGGTAAGCGTCCGAGGGGTAGACCGAAGCGAAGGTGGGAAGATTGCATTAAAGCCGATCTGAAGGGACTGGGTTTGGACGGCGAACGGTGGAGGGAGGTGTGTAACAAGCGATTGGTGGTGTCGGCATCGAACCTTCGGGTTCTTATTTTATTTTAATGAAATTTACAACTGTATTTCCATTAAAAATACAACATGTAAATGTGACATTGGTAACATGACATGTACAACATGAAGAGAAACTACCCATTGGTAGAACTCAAATTAAAGTTCTATATTAGAAGATCCCGAGGCCATCCATCTTCTTTTCAGACGCCTCGGAGAGTTATCAGGGATCGAGGAGGAAGCAAGGTTTGAAACAAGAGGGTTCGGATGGTTCTGCAGTTTGTTATGGAAGGATAGGTATCTGGATTGGGCCAAATCGGAAACATATGGAGCATTAAGGTCTTTATGGATGATTTTGTTTGTGACAAAGTAAGGAGCGTTGAGGATTTTACGAAGGATTTTGGATTGTAAGGATTGTATACGCGAGGAATTCGATGGTTTAGTGGAGCCCCAGAGCTCAATTCCGTAAGTCCAAATAGGTCTTATTATTGTCATATATATGAGTCGTTTGTAATTGATTGAAAGCTTAGAGCGTTTGTCCAGTAAATGTTGGAGTAGTCGGAAACGTCGAGCGGTTTCTTGTCGTTTCAGTGTTGTATGAGGATTCCATGTGAGTCATTTGTCGAGGTGGAGTCCTAGGTAACGGATTTGTTCAACTGGGACAAGTGGGGAATTGTTAAAGAATACTGTAGGACAGGAGGTCATAGGTTTGCGACGCAGGGTAAAGGTAATTTGATGGGATTTATTGGAGTTGACCTCAAAACAAGAATATAATTTCCTCTGAAGGTATGTCCGCAAGGTATGAAGGTATTTAAGGTGTGTATAGATTCCTCAATCTATTTAAATGATCCTACTTTTATTATACTTTAAACAATCCTACTTTCAAAGATCCTACTTTTCTTCAATATATTTAAATGATCCTAGTTTTCCTTAATCTATTTAAATGATCCTACTTTAAATTATCCTACTTTTCCTCAATCTATTTAAATGATCCTACTTTTACTCAATCTATTTCAAACTCGATATCATTCAGTTTATTTATTTATCTGGAAAATGATAGTCCGTGGTACAACCTCTTTTAAGCAAATTATTAATATCCGCCTGACATTCGTCAATAGCTTCATCTCATCTCAATCTACGACTATTTTATTTACAAAAATTCTCAGAATTAGAGCGTTTTCAATCTTGAGGTCGGCAAAGGTTATATAGGCCAGACGGTCAGTATTTTTGTAGGGCAATTTTTCTCTCAATTTTGTGATCAAATTATCTTACGATCCAAGTGGAAAGGAAATGAGTATTAACGAGTTTTCAGAACGTAATTAAATATAGAAAATTTGCCGATCTCCAGATTGAAAACGCTCCAATTACAGAAGTTTTCGTAAATGAAATATTTGTAGGTTACGATGAGATGAAGCTATTCATGGAGTTTCTGGCGGATGTTAATAATTTGATAAAAGGGGGTCTTTACCACAGACAATGGTAATGAAATGTACTAAGCAATCTATAACATAGACATGAATATATATTGAGAAAACAGATAATAAATAAAATACTTATTAAGCTCTTCAAGTTCACGCTTCAATGCTTCGTTTCGAGTATCTGCTTCCCTCAACATTTGCTTCACCGCGTCACTGTCATAAACATCTTCCAGAAGGAAAGGTTTCCTGAAGCATTTGTTCAAAAAGTTAAAAATTGCGACTCGATATCAGTTTATCTCTTATAGAAGAATAATCATCTTGATTAGAAAACAACTCTAACTTAGTAGAAAAAAGTTTATCTTTTATTCTTGGATGAAGATTATTAAGCGCTATTTGGAGAATCAAAGTTGTCTGGAAGCAGTTACCGAACACAGCAAAAAAAAAAAAAAGAAAATCATACAATTTAATAAAATTAAAAAAAAAATTGCAAATTATTTCACAATGGTTTATTATTTCCAAAAAATTTTACATCTAAAGCAATATTACCATTCTGGGGACAAAAAAAAGAAATGAAAGGTGATTCAAATTATTGGAATAAAAAAAAAATTAGCATTACTTCAGTAACACATTCAAAATTCAAAAAACAAAACAAATGATATAACCTTTACATTAGAACATATAAAAAACGTGACTCACTTAAAAAAATTCAAATCTTAAATTTCCTGCTTTTCTGCTGGAAATTGGGCAATTGTTTATACATATATACTTTTTTGTAGATATTGATGTCTACTATCAGCCATTTAAATATTTCCCTATACTTATGGCAAACTCAGTTTATTTGGGAAGGAAGAGACAGATTAATGACAGAGTTAAAAGCCCACCCACTGGGAAATGAATCTCAATAGTAATTCATACCTAGGACTCAACCCGGACATCTAACTTGGAATCCTCATACCAGACTGAAACTGCAATAAACCGCCCCAAGTTTCCGACCACTTCAGCACTTACTAGACAACCGCTGTAACCTTTCAATTAATAAAAAAAGACTCATATACATGACTATAATAAGACCTATTTGGACTTACGGAGTTGAGCTTTGGGGCTCCACTAAACCGAATTCGTTTCGTATCCAAACTTTACAATTCAAAATCCTTCGTAAAACCCTTAATGCTCCCTACTTTGTAACAAATAAAATAATCCATAATGACCTGAATGTTACATATGTATCAGATTTGGCCCAATCCAGATACCTACCTTTTCATAATAAACTTCAGAACCATCCTAATCCTTTCGTTTCTAACCTTGCTTCCTCTTCAATCCCTGATGACCCTCCTATGCGTCTGAAAAGAATATGGCCTCGTGATCTCCTAATTTAGAAACTTCACTAGAGTGCTACTAATGGGTGGATTCTCTACAAGCCTTGTCATGTCATGTATTTCTCTGTATCACATTTTCTGAATGTATATTGATTTGCACTGTTGTAAATTTCATAAATAATAATAAAAATAAAAATTCATGAATATTATTTTGTTTTTATTTAATTTACACGAGTTAATAACCTTTTAATTTATTCATAATTACTTATGCTATCTTCTTTTGCCAACCTGAAATAATTCCATTAGTGTAAATAATCATCATATAATCATACTGTGATACCTGCTGAGTGATTTCAAGTCGCCGCAGACCGATAGGTGAGGCGTCTTCCATAGATCTTGCGGGGAACACCACGATTCATCTGATCTGCTGTCCCCTCGGCTATACCCCTGAACCTGATGGAATGAAGCATTCAGGTCAATCAATGACTGATGTTCTGAGCTAACTTGAATTAACCATTCTAAGAATAATTACCTTATTCTTAAAAAAAGTTATGATAAAACATCCGAAAATGAGAGTGGCCAGAACGATGTAAATACCTCGGGACAGGAAGAGGGACAACCACATGCTCCAAGCTCCTTCATCTATCAGCAAACAATAATATTGTTAACAATCATCTATCAGCAAACAATAATATTATTAACAATAAACTATTCAATACATTTTTACTTTCACTTACCTATATATCAGCATTTCAGTTGACAGAATGACTAACTCCAATTTCAACATTTTTACTTACTTACCTCTTCAAGTAAGAGTCGAGCTCCACACATCTCTATCTGCCCTCCTAAGTCTTCCGGGTGGCTCTTTCATCTTAACCGCTCTTTTCCGATCCTCTCAGAGACGGTCTCTTCTACACCTATTCTCTGTCTCACCATTTCATTTCGGACTCCGTCCAGCCTCATTAACTGGACAAGTCTGAAGTCCTCCGTACAATAGTCGATGCTCCCTTCTATGTCACTAATAAAACCCTGCATAATGACTTTAATATCTCATTTATCTTGATCTTATCTCAGACAAATTTTTCAAATTTCATCAGAACCTTAGTCATCACCCTAATCCCGTAGCACAGTCCCTATCTAACACCACCCATCCCTACAACCCTCCTCGCAGGTTAAAACGGCAGTGGCCCCGTGATCTTTTGTAACATGTATAAGTTCTGGCAATGACCAGATTCTCAAGTCATGAGTGTCTGTGGTGCGCCCTTACTCAGCCTCGGCTGGCTTTTGATACCAGTGAAGTGATTGAGGGTAAAGCGTAGGGATCTCCTGAAGCCTCGGCAGCCTGAACAAGTCTGGTTCGGAGTTCCCATTGTAAAGAGTCCCTCATTATGATATTTTATTTTGTTCTTATTTCGGTGTATGGTATTTTGGCATTCCTGTGATCTCTGAACTCTATTATAAGCGTCCTTAATTGAGACAGATTGTAATATTTGTCAATAAACAAGTAATCTAAGAAAAACTGGAGACATCTTCTCCAAAATTCCATTGTTACAGTCCGAACTTTGTCAAACAAGCTAGCTTCCATTGCCCATACCTCACATCCGCAGGTTGATATTAACTCGACAATAGCTGCGAATATACTCAGCTTGTACATGTTTGAAATGGTGTTCCAGAGAACAGATCAGCATTCTGGTTGCTTTAGCATATCAATCAACGTTTTTGATTTTTAAGTTTAGTGGCATATCTAGTGGGAAGAACTTTATTCACAGTTCTATATTTCAACACTGCGATCACCTTCTATGAAATCAACTTACTGTCTCTACAAGTATTATAATTTTTTCTATTAGAAATATCACTAAAATGATTTTACTCAAAAATGTTGAAATTGGAGTTAGTCATTTTGTCTAGTATGTCAACACTCTACCTCAAAAACGAACAGTCATACGAAACTGATATTACGAAATTAAGATAGGTATATGACTGTGATATGACAGCAACTTTTTCGGTCAAATCAGCTAACTGGAAGTGCCACTTTATGTAAACGATTTTACAATTTTCTGTAATTAATTCTACAATTAATAATTAACTGTCTTAAGAGGCAGTTGTTAATAAAAATAAGTTATTAACAGTTATGAACAAGGGATAAATATAAGTTTTGAAAGAATTTGATAATTGAATAAAGAAGGAAAATTTTTTATTTTTCCAGTGTTATAATATATCGTCTTATTGTTTATTGTTATATCGTAGGAAAGCTGAAAATTTCAGAAAACAAAAACATTAAGTAACATACAAAGTCATAGAACGTAATAGAGAGTGACAAAAACATTATAATAAAATAATAATAATAAAAAGCTTAGTGAACCCAAAGGTTCGATGCCGACACCACCAACCGCTTATTACACACCTCTCTCCACCGTTCGCCGTCCAAACCCAATCCCTTCAGATCGGTTTTAATGCAATCTTCCCACCTTCGCTTCGGTCTACCCCTGTACCATTCGTTACAGCGGGTTTTGCGATGGTTTTTGGTTTTACCAATATATGAGCTATTAAGATTAGGAGTAGAGCAAAGTATCCGGTAAACTACGTTAGATAGATGTTGTAAAAGTATGGGATCCTTCAAGTTGGTGAAAAGGAAAGAAAGTTTGACATGGGACTTAAAGGCCAAGACGTAAGTTGGTTATAGTCGATTTGAGGAATTTTATTATCTGAAATAATAGGAAAATAGGAGAGAGATTTGTATATGAAAGGAGTGGTAGGTGATTGTGGGGAGTTGGGAGAATGGTATGTTGTACTCTTTTTGGTTGTATAGCTCTATATCTTTTTGTATCTTGTCCGTCCTAGCGCTGAAGAAGACCTGCAAAGTCGGGTCGAAACGTTGGCTTGAAATAAAATAGTTTTGCCACTATATGGTCTATTTATGACCGCCACCCAGGACCATTTCCTTCCATAATAAGTATTCAACATGTTTATTTAAATCTATCAATCCGTTAAAAATAGGGCTTTGACTCTTTAATTTTTTTAAGAATGTATTATTGTTCTATAAATATAGTAATTTACAGGGATTAGCAATATGTCCAGAAAAATTAATTTTTCCGTGAAGTGATAAGGTTATATTGATATTTTCCTCCAGACTATAACAGCATCATTAACTCATATTGTACAGGTTATCAGAAACGATAACGTTGAAGATAACGCTGAATTTAGCTATTCCGTTATTTTTTTGATATTTTTAGCTTTCCTATCTCTTTAGAAATATTTGGGTTAATAATATAATTGATTAAGAATTAAGTATTGTGTACTTACATTTCAAAAATACAACTATGACGAGAAAACAAGGTAGAAGAAATGCACAGGCCACGGTGTATCGGATCCAATCTATAATAGATTTATCGTTGTCAGTCGGACTTTCTGGAACCATCGGAATCAGATAATTTATCGAATTGGAATTATTTTTATGTGAACCATATCTGTGTGAACGGCATTTTCATTTGTTTCACCACCCATATGGTATTCCCAATTCAAATTTATTCACCACTTAACACAGCTCTAGATTCATTATCACAACAAAAAGGGTTAGATGACTTGAAACAGGAATGTTATTTTATTATGATTATTTATTATTTTTAATAATTCACCAATCAGTGACACAACTGTTTTCATTAAAAAAAAATATCAATATCAACTGGCAATTTGAAGAGAAAATCAAATCTATGAAATAAATATATAATTGTTAAAATTTATCAATTACACGTTTGGTTAAACTCATGATAATGATTTAGCTGAAAAAAAAATCGTTGATTTTGTTTACTTTCAACGGAGGTCGATATCGATTGTTGAAATAAAATCGATATTCTGAGCCCATAATGCAGGCGTCGCCTAGCAACCGATTCAAACCTAATTCGGAGGGGAGGGAAATTTATATTTACTAGTATTCTTAATGGAAATTCAACCATAACATTATTGAAAATTTAAGGATAACATATGAATTTGTATGTTTCCAAGATGTTGTTGTTTGTTGAGGTAAAACATCTAGGTCACAAACGTCTGCAAATTAATCTTGTTTTATCTTTGGATTAAATATTTAAACGATTTTAAATATTATTTAACTAATTGTTTGATTTTAAGAAATCTAACACTATGTTTATTGTGTCTCCGTCATCACTTAGAATGTTTGATACTGGAGGTGTAATATTCAGTGGTACAGACACCTTTTTATCAAATTATTAACATCCGGCTGAAACTTCGTAAATAGCTTCATCTCATCGTAACCTACAAATATTTTATTTACGAAAATTTTCGGAATTGGAGCGTTTTCAATCTGGACAACTCGTAAAAACTCGTACATACCCGATTGCTTTGCACTTGGATCGTAAGCTAATTTGATCACAAAATCTATTGGGCCGTTTAGTCTACATAATCTCGTTATTTTGACAATTTGGGGATGAAGATCACGCCAAATGGCTTTATATTTTTGAAGGCCACTTTTTTTCTCGACTTTGTGCTCAAGCTATCTTACGATTCAAATGGAAAGCCAATAGGTATTTACGAGTTTTTAGTACCTTAATAAATAGAAAAAAAATTTTCAACCTCCAGATTGAAAAGGTCGCAATTCCGTAGGTTACGATGAGATGAAGTTATTTACAAAGTTTCAGGAGATGTTAATAATTTGATAAAAAAAGTTTTTCATCACGGACTATAAGTCCTAAACTATTTAGATTTGATATGTAAAAAGAATATTCCTGTAAAATGTATTAATTGCAGTGTTGGCAATGTGGTGGTGGCTGCTGCCTAATGAGATGTGAATGGGTAAGGTTGGTGTGGCCTATTCTTAGTCTTGTTAAGAAAACCTCTTCTCAACGGATATGGCGGTTCGATGTTGACCACATAGATCGGCAGCTATGAATTATTTCTTTTTTTGAGAGGAAGGCCTATATCTTACGGTATTAAAATGGCAGCGCCCGGGCCTGGTAGGGTAAGTTTTCAAACATGTTTTTTTCCATTCTTCTACATTTGTGCGTACACTTTGATATGTACCGACATTACAACACAGTACCATTTGTGTACTTGTTGAGTTACTCACTAGTAAAATTCTAAATCCATTGTTACATTTTTTCTGCTTCTTTTCCAGGAATTATGTTATGTACATAAATTAAAAGAGTTTCTAGGAGAAGAATTTAGGAAAGTTCCATTAAAATCGTCAAAGCCGTTTTGGTGTTATAGTCTATAGCAGGGATCTTTCCTACGTTCAATCGTTTGCTACGCTTTAACAGTTCCTGAGATTCCGTGATTGTATGTCACTTAAAATCCGTCAGCTCCTAGGCTCCTCTCCCGTTTTCCCCTCACTTCGATTCTGGCTGCCTTGTTTACGGTGGACTGTCTTTTGGGCTTGAGATAAGATTAAAGAGACTAATGACTTGTTTCATTCTATTCATCTTTGCAGCCCCCAGGCGTTCCCACGTCTCCAGTTGCTATGTCGAGTTGAAGTGGCTCTATCAAGTTTTCCGACGGCCATATTTCCTAGGTGCATTCCTTTTCCGAATCTTTACAATCAAAAACCCTCTCGCCTTCTTGATTTCTTTACTCCTTGTTGCTCTGTTCATTCCTTCAACATGAGATCCCAACCCTAAATCTGTCATTCTCCTCTAACTCTCAGATCTCAGTCTGTTTATTACTTCTCGTAGAACTGTTTCTTTTAAAAAACCCTTCGTCATACGTGCTACATCATTTTGAAATTCTCTACCGACCTCTATTCGGAAAGTCTCACCATTGACGTCATTTAAACATCATTTATTTTTGAATATTTAATAGTTGAACGTTGCATTATAAAGGAAGGAGATGGTCCGGGTTGCGGTCATAAATAGGCTAAATAGTGGTAAAACTATTTTATTGAAAGCCAACGTTTCGACCCGACTTTGCAGGTCTTCTTCAGGGCTAGAACGGACAAGATACAAAAATATAGAGAATTGTGGCAGTTACATAATATTTAGACAATAAATTATAAACAATGTGAATAAGCTTATTAAAATTATAAACAGTAAGTACATTAAAATATGAACAAGTAAGCTGAGTAACAAGATCCTAAACTGAAGTAAATAGATGCTAACAATTGTTGTAGTGTAATATATAATAAATGAAAATGTGAATATACTTCTACAAATCTACAGAAGAGAGTGATAGAAAAAGGAGAAAGGAGTTTTATTTTATTTTAGTTCTAAAGTAGACATTTTATTCTTCCATTTTATTTACTTATTTTTGTAATTTTTGGTTTTCTTTCCTTTCTCCACATTCCTTTATGTATATTATTTCATATCATATCCTTTTTCCTTTTCTTTCAAACTCACCTGTGATCTGTAGAAGTATATTCACATTTGCATTTATTATATATTACACTACAACAATTGTTAGCATCTATTCAAATCAGTTTAGGATCTTGTTACTTAGCTTACTCTGTTCATATTTTAATGTACTTACTTTTTATAATTTTAATAAGCTTATTCACATTTTTTATAAATTATGTCTAAATATAATGTAACTTCCACGATTCTTTATCTTTTTCTACCTTGATGAAGACCTGCAAAGTCGGGTCGAAACGTCGGCTTTCAATAAAATAGTTTGACCACAATTTATCCTATTTTTGAACGCAACCCTGGACCATCTCCTTCCATTATTTATTTTTCCATTTCATCAGTAATCAGTAGTTTGTAGTCTATTTTAAGATTATATATCTACTAAAGTGTCGTTCCTTTATTTCAATATTAAGGTTAGGCAACGTTGTAAATTAATTTATTTTTAATTGTATTCTAATGCTATTTAATTGTTATTTCGTTGTTCATCTGAGGGGACTAAATGCCACAGAATAAAATTCACTTTCTTTCATTTAAGTCCCGCGGCCAAAAATTCAAATTTGTATATATAAGGGTAAAATGCCCACAATGAAATGAAAATAAATATAGCGTCTATAAGTTTTACTTTCATTTCACCTTTGTCTGAAAATACTTATTTCTGCTAAGAGGGTGGTAAGTGAAAGTCGTTTGATGCGCGCACCAGATTTTTTTTAATGTTTCAGCAGATACACATGTTTTGGTTAATTAAAGTGCCGAGCTATTCTATTTTCAATAAACTCCGGCTGATAACTATACGTTATCGAACTGGATTCCGATTTGGGTAGACAGCGTGAAAAACGTGGCTTTCAAGGACGATTCCCTTTATAAAGCTCCTATTGAATAAACAATTCTATATGTCAATAATGTCTTATGATTCTTATTTATGAGCTTGTTTTTTTAATACATTTCTTGTCAGAATTATTGCAAGACATTGTTTAAAATATAATTAAATCGTGAGATAATCAGGGATAATAGATAATTTTGCATACACTGTAACGTCAAGACGATTTAATCTCCTGCAATTGCAGAAAATCACTACATATTTTGCAGAATTATTTGTTATATGCAAAGTTATTTTTTGAATTTATATTGTACTATTTTTAAGAAAAAGGAAAATTTATTTTAGTTTTTTTATAATTTATAATTTTAAGGTGCGTTTAGAGAGTTCACAACCTATGGGAATTACAAATTTCTAAATGGTGTTTTACCAATACTAGTGTTGTTTTTTTACGTTAACTTACCTATTTATGTAATGTATAGTAAGGGAAAGTATTGCGATCGTGAAAATTTTCGAATATCGGATTTAAACGGAAATACAAGTTTTGAGGTCCCCTGAGTCGAAATAACCAAGTCCCACAAAATGGTCTCTGTGTTTGTGTATGTGTGTATATTAGCAGTCTAGCTCAAAAACGACAAGTCGTAAGAAACTGATAATATGTATTTAAGATAGGTATATGCACGAGATGTTGCAGCAACTTTTTCCTGTAAACCGGTTTATCGCAAGTGGCACTTTATATAAACGATGATACACATTTTTAAAAAACGGCTCCAACGATTTTGATTAAACTCAGCATATCAGTATTAAGCATTTTTTAATATAATGTAGGTTTTATTCTCATTGATATTCTCTAACAGGGCTTAAATGGCTAATTTTCAATATTGGCTTCCTCTAAAGTACCTTTAATTTTTCTTATTTGAAATATATTAATCTTTGATATTATTAACTGGTCTTTAATATTGATGTCATTTTATAGGGCTTAAATGCCCAACGTTCATATTCGTCTTCCTCTAATATTAATTATCTCTCATTATTAATCGTCGAAAAAAGGCTAAATATAACATTTGAAAGAATTTTATATTTGAATTTTCTTTTTTTATTTCTTTTTATTAGAAATTCCACTATTAGTGGGTTTCCTTAACCTAAACCTTAAAATCCATAGGATCCTATTTAAAGTCCATTCTTCCCGTAGACCATGGATTCCTCCTCTTCGTTATCCCAGGTCTTCTTTGGACTTCCTCGTCTTCTTCTTTCCCTAGGTTTCCATAAGTGGACTTCCTTGGGTAGTCTTCCTTTAATATTTAAATAAATAAGAAAAAAAGAACAATGCTTATCTATCCAAGTCGAAAATGAATTTTATCGTTGAAATGCAGAGAATTTTAGAAAAAAACAATATCTAATGTAGAAAGTAGTGGAAAGTATTAGAGTGTGACGAAAAATTTTAAATAATAATTTTTGAAAACTTATATTATTTAATAAAAGTCACATATTTTCAAAGAAATTGAATGAAATTTTGATATGATATCAAGAATATGCCACTGAAAGAGAATTCGCCTGGGCTAACGATGTATTCGATTGGGTTTTGAAAACTGGCTCGTCAAAGTTATCCAATTAGGCCAGTCGGGTGGTAGTTGAATGAAGAAAAAATGCAAAATAGTCAGTTTCACTTTGATATTTTATGCTTTTTGGGATGCTGAATTCGAATATGAAGTTTTTGAACGAAATTTTAAATCGCGTGCCGAGATATGTGCAAAAAACAGAAAAATTTGCAAACTTTTTTTTTTGGCCATGCATTTTGTCAAAAATACTATCATATACAAAGTTAAAGTAAATAAAATTTACAATCAATTTTATTGGTAACTTTTTATGTAGGCCCAAGCGTGAGGAGAATGTTGAGTGTTTGTTTCACAAGAAATATATGTTTTCTTCGGTTTTTCCCAAAAATCTCTACATCTCTCGAAGAAATAAATTATAATCAATTTGAAAGAGCATTAAATTTCCAATGTACTTCATTTAGACACGTTAATATGTGATATTGAGCGGCATGGAATCGAAGGAATATTTCACTCGTAATGTTGCCCAAAATCGGACTTGGTCTTGCACTTTGCAAGACCAAGACCAATACTGTTGCATCAGATCTGTTGCAAGACCAGGTTCAAGAATGGTAAAAAAAATCGAATTTATGAATAAAAATGTAGGTAAAATTGTTATTAATACTTCACAATTTTAGTTACTATATGCATAGAAATGGTATAACCAATATACTTTTGCATTTAATATAATAATATAATATTATTAATATAATAATTGTTTTAAAGATTCTAATTTTTAAGTTTCGGGACAAGAGGCGCGAACTAAGTAGTTTTGTCACAGAAAAATAACAAGCATTCCCCGCCTTCAGTCTAACCTTAATCTCTTCTTCAATTTCGTTTTTTCTAGTTATCGTAGAACTTAGATACCTAAATTTATCTACCTGTTCAAACATTTTACCATCTATATCGATATCACCAGTAGTATCGCCATTTTAGCAGCTAACCATATATTTTGTTTTATCCACGTTTATTTCGAGTCCTAGTTCTTTACCGGCTTTCATTAACGTTGTCGTATTTAGTTTTATAGTTTCAACGTCTTCGCTTAACAGTACCAGATCATCAGCATATCCCAGCACGGATGTTGTCCCGCCCAGATCCAACCCTTTCTCGGTACGCATTACCTCCCTAATAGCATGTTCTAATGCCAAATTGAACAGGACAGGCGAAAGAGAATCCCCCTGTTTTAAGCCCGAACGAACCTCAAATTTTTCGGACAAATTATTACCGATTCTAACTTTATTCAGTGTCTCCGTCAAGCACATCCTGACTAGATTTACTAGTTTTTTTGGAATCCCTTGCTCAATTAGAATATTATACAGTTTCTGGCGGTCAATAGAATCGTAAGCCTTTTTAAAATCTATATACAGCTGGTGAACAATACCGTTATACTCCAATTTTTTCTCTAATATTTGCCGTAAAGAAAATATTTGATCAATTGTCGAACGATTCCTTTTGCATTTAACTCTTCTATTTTTTCATTCAGACTTACTTATTTTTCTCCTATCTAAAAAATTACAGTAATATCTCTCTAGTGATAAGCTAATAGGTAACTGCAAGACTGTTACGAGAATCTTGAGCAAGACCAATACCTAGACCTAGACTAAGACCCGTCTCGGTCTCTCATTTGGGCTATTCACTCTTGAATCTGCCGCTCTCTACTTAAGTACTTTTTACGTTTTCAATATTTTTGATTTTGCTAATTTAACTATATTTATAAAAGGATGAATTAAATATTGTAAATTAGTCGAATCAGAAACATAGATTCAACAATATTACAAAAAAAATAATAATAGAATAGTTTCAGCAGAATTTAATTCTCTTTCAAATTAATTATATTGAATTTCTTCGAGAGATGCAGATACTTTGATTTTTAGGCGAAAACCGACGAAACTGAGATTTCTTGTGAAACGAACAGTCAACATTCTCTAACTCCTCACCCCTTGGGCGTACATAAAAAAACAACGTATATACTTGATAGTAAATTTTATATACTTTTTATATGATAATAATTCTGAGAAAATGCATAAATTCGGAGTCATATTCGAAAAACAAAAAACAAAAAAAAAAAAAAATCGGAAATTTGGATGTTTTTTTGCATATATCGTTCGGGAACATCAAATTTATATTCAGCATCCCCTCCCCCAAAAAAACATAAAAAACCAAAGAGAAATCGAGTCTTTGAATTTCTTCCTCACCCAACTATCATCCGACTGGCTAATTTTCTTTTAGGAACGTATTCGTGACATCTTATCAAAATTTTCGCAGTTTATTCTTTCGTTAAATGAACCGTTTTAATTTCGCCTCTTTAACTTAAATTTTCTGATAGAAAATAATGGCTTTCGACCAACTGATCTAAGTTGTGTGATCAGATGAGGTTTATCTAGAATTTTTTTTTAAAAACTTTTATTATAATATTTACAACTGTATTAGTATGAATACATCAAGTAAATGTGTACAGAGGAATATTATCACATGAAACACGCTTGTTGAGAAACTACCCATTGGTAGCACTCTAATTATCTAGAATTTAAAATGGTTAATAGCTTTAAGTTTCTTCGTTAAATGAAATGATCGTCAGCTCTTAGTCTATTAGGTAGATCTCATCATGGAGAAATGTCGAAGGTTCGGTTTGTGCATCTATAAAATACCCCAGTTTCCTCTTTCGTTAAAAAATTCTTCAAGGTTTCAATCGTTTATTCTCATTTATAATGTAAACTAGATCATGTGGTATGAATTAAATGTTAATTATAATTGTTTTAAAGGATTAAATATTAAATGCTTTATTATCTCCAAAGAGATAAGATATTAAATATAAAAACATTGAATGGTCGCTCATGAATTTCAGTTTTTGATTAATCTGCATAATGAAGCTCCCTTGCTTACTTTTGCTGACTGTTATCATCGCCATCTCTTTTGGTAAGCAAGAAGTAGAGGGTGTACGAAGCACAGAATATTATGTTTTTTTAAAACATTAATCAGTAGAGTAAAAGCATCAATAACTGACACTGTACCAGTACCTGACATCCTTTTAGAAAAATCGGAATGATAAGTTTTCAGGACCTCCTAGATATTTATTTCATAAATCTTTGGTTTCTATATTTTCTTCTTGTTTATTTTTGAGCCACTAGCGGATCCAGGATTTAATTTTGGGATGAGGCTGGCTTCAGCCCGAAACCTTTTTTTTGATATATATATATATATATATATCGATAATTAATTTGAAAAAAAAGAATGAATCTAACTACCTATATGAGATAGTGTTTAAGTGATTCTTGAAATCCTATTAAATGTAATTACACGAACAATAATACTTTAGGAGATAGATTTTAATATTTTTTTCTATAAAACATGGCTATATTTTACCATTTTTTTGTGGGGGGGAGGGCTTCAGTCCGAGAGCTCCCCACGTAGACCCGTCTGTGAATTGGACAGGGTCCACAGTCCACTTTGTGTCTCAGAGACAATAATCTTTCTTTAAATTTGTCCTTTTCTCTTTAACTAGTTCGATTTATCAGAAAATGCTTACTTTATTTTTCTTGTAGTGTTTTTAGATTATGTTTTAAGTTATTTTAATAAAGATATTGGAAATTTAATGGATGTCAGCTACCGGAGGCCTTTTGTTAGTAGATTACATGTCTATACTCTCACAAATTTAAAGAGATATACTTAACATCACAGGCGGATCTACGGGGGGAGGGCTTTCAGGCTGAAGCCCCTCCCCCAAAATGGTAAAATATAACCATATTTTACACAAAAAAATATTGAAACTATCTCTTAAAGTATTCTTGTTCGTTTAATTACATGTAATAGGACTTCAGGAACCACTTAAACACCATTTCATATAGGTAGTTAATTTCTTTTTTTTTAAAATTATTTTTATGAAGATTTATGAAAAAAAAATCTTTCGGGCTGAAGCCCGTCCCCCAAAATTAAATCCTGGATCCGCTAATGCTTAACATAACGGGTCTTAAAAATCATTCACTACTCTCCCATTTTTGAGTATGTAAGCTGAAATAAATTTCTTCAACTAAGAGATATCCAGGATAGTAAGTCAACTAAACTTCATGTCAAACATCCACAACAAAACTCGGTTGATTAACATACTACAGACACTTGAAATTATGGTCTCTTAAGCACAGAACGATATGTATTATCTTGTAGAAGGCAAGTGGGAATAGTATATCTTGCAGTATGTATAGCAATATAATGTCCTATGTACAACTTTAAATTAAACTTTTTAAAGTGAATACTTCTTTGAGCGAGTTTTGCACTATTTTTGTGAATTGCATAAAGGCGTCAGATCTCCGATGTGTAACGTATGAAGTCGACTAATTCCAGTGTTCTTGGATATAGATTAAATTATCTAAAAAATTAAAAATCGGATCATCATATTGTTAGTAAGAGAAATGTTCAGCATTTCATCCTCTTTGTAATGAGATATTATTCAAAATTGTATATTTACGCGACGCCGTGTTAGAGAGGCTAAAAGGGAAAAATGGTATCGAAAACCAAATTACAACGAGTTTTATTGAAGATATTGATGAAAATATCTCAAAAACTTCGGACCTGCATAACATAAGCAAGAAATTTGTTCAGGATTTCATCCTCTCTGTAATAGACCACTATTCAAAATTATATCTTACCGCGACGCCGAATTAGAGGCGCGAAAAGGGGAAAAAATAGTGGCGAAAACTAAATTATAACTAGTTTTCTTGGAGATATGGAATAAAATATCTCCGAAACTAATACTCGGACCTGCATATTATTAGTGAGAGAAATGTTCAGAATTTCATCCTCTTTATAATGAGCTATTATTTATAACTTATATTTGATGTTATCACGTATATCGTGTGGTCTAAACCACACAACACCTCAATGTTTTTTTTAGGTTCATGTATATCGTATTTGATTAAAGACGTTTCTGATAAAAGTGTTGTAGACTTCCTATTCTGTTTGTTATTAACTGCGCAAGTATAGCGGATTTGAACAAGAATATGTGAAGATTTGAGGGTTCATATCACAAAATAAATATCGATATAGAGGAACCTAAGGAAAACTTTATTTTAAAGTGCTGTGGAGGAGCCCCAACCCGATAAAGTCAGCTATGTATCACCATTATTACTGTATTATTATAATATTAGATGTTAGAGTATTATTAAATTAAACCTAAAATATAAAACTATTTACGAGACGTTTAACAAAAATGTATTTATTATTTATAAGAAGTTTATTAAATTCATTAAAATCTTACGTCGAAATCGTTGTTAACTTTGTTACCACTCTACGTCTATAGTCTTGTGTATCGAATCTACGGTTAACATGTTTTTATTAACAGTATATTATATTAGTGAGTATTAGACATTACTCAAAAATGTTGATATTGGAGTTAGAGATTGTGTCAGCTGAATGGCTCAGAGACTTAAGTTATGTAGTTTATAAAACTAGATAGAATTTAACTAGACTTTTTATTTGCCTACCGCGATATAATAAATAGACTTTTTGTAATTTTAACAATCTTAATGATTTGTTATCTGTAAGCTTTAAGCTTTAGCTCCGTTTAAAATGCACTTAAAAAAATTTATAATTGCCCAACATTGCCAGAAAATAATTTCTGTTTAAAGTAGAGGGGTAAGTATAATTATATTTATGTTTTCATTTATCCTTCAGATCTGACGTTGGCCGCGAGAACTACAAGAAATCCCCCTGGATATTTCCGCTGTGTCGGCTTTTTCAACAGGTGTTGTCCACTCGACAGATATTGCTGCATAAATAATCTCTATTGCTGTCGAACAGGAAGGTTAGTATATTCATTTATTTCAAAGTTTAATTTCATCATATTCTACAAAATTTTACTTTACAATTTTTTTTTTCAGTACCTTCGCTGCTATAATATGTTGAAATTTTGTATTTGTATCACAAAGGAACTATATTGAAAACGATTATGTAACTTCTGTCCTCAGTATTAAATTTCAATATATATATAGGCTGATAGAATTTGTAAAATATATACTATAATATAACTATATATTATTGTTCTTAGATAATAATTCCTCGCGTTCAAGCTCACTCCTCCAACACCCTCCCCTCTTTTAAATCCCGCCCATTCAACCACTTCCTAATTTACCCAGTTCTCAAAAAAAAATTAAACATTTATCTCTGTAAATATGTAAATAATTTATTTGTTTGTTTTTTTATATTATTGTTATTTCATGTTTTTTTTAAATTTATCAATGTTATCTTATAATAAAATATTATTTCAAATTGTTTATTTCTTATTATGTTACTCACAATCTCTAAACCTCACAGTTTACTTTCAACCACTAGGGTCATTATTGCCTTATTTTCATCGAGAACTAGATTCTATGCTCAAGTTTAGAACATCTCAGAAAAGAAAACAGTATATCGTATTCGTATTGTCATGTAAAATGGAGTGTAGATCATTTGTCAAGTCACAAGATAGTCTAAATGTTTCGTAAGCTCTGCATTCTGCACATTAAAATGTGTTTCACTGTCAGAGGAGTCCCACAAATTTGGCATGTTGGCGAAGAATCACGGGCCATCAGGTATCCATTGGGTAAGGCGTGTATAACCTATACGCAGGCGCTTAAGAAATACTTCCTCTCTGCGGTTATTCCTATTTGACCACAGGCGGATCTACGGGGGGGGGGGAGGGGGCTTTCGGGCTGAAGCCTCCCTCCCCCCCAAAATGGTAAAATATAATCACGTTTTACAGAAAAAATATTAAAAACTATCTCTTAAAGTATTCTTGTTCGTTTAATTACATTTTATAGGACTTCAAGAACCACTTAAACACCATTTCATATAGATAATTAATTTCTTTCTTTTTTTTTTCAAATTACTTATCGTTATATGTATATGGAAAAAAAATCTCTCGGAATGAAGCCCCTCCCAAAATTATATCCTGGACCCGCTAGTGTATTTGACGATGCCCAAGAAGAAACGTCACCCTTAACCTCCCTCAATTTATTTTTGGTTACATTTGACCATATCTGTTCCCATTTTGTAATTTCTTCCTTACTACTCTTTTTAGGCTATACGGGGTTTTACCGGGCCGGGTGGTGAGAGTGGGGAATTTAAAATCCCCTTCAGCACCGGGACGCGAACTCGTGCTGTTTTAATCTGCCAATACTTTGGTTATCTGATTGCGGGCAACGGTGCTTTAACCAATCTTGAACCGGGATCCTTCTCAATGTGGAAATTGTACGCGAACCACTGCCCTTCCTCACAATTTAACTGTATTTTCTTTCAAAGAAACTTTTCTCGGAATAAATAAATAATGTGTAATAATATATTATACGCACACACGCATACATATACCTAGCCCTATCATAAATATTGCTACAAGAAAATATATACAGATTTCAACAGAAACTTTATTAGAAAATAAAATGTATATATATATAGAGAGAGAGTTAAACAAAAAATATATTACTCAAAATCTCTCCCTTTTGCCTTGGAACATGCATAGCAGCATGAAGCACTTCTTGAAGAAAGCGCTCAACTGCTCGGACCAGAGATTGTTTGAGGCTTTCCAAGTTAGGGTGTGCTCTGTGACATGCCATCCTCTCCAGTTCGGACCAAAGCTGATAATCTAGTGGGTTGAGATCAGGACTTCCTGAGGGCCAACCTGAGGCAGAAATGAACTCTGGAATGTTCTTTTGCAGACACTGCTGATTTCACCTGGCCTTGTGAGCTGGAGCGGAATCCTGCTGGAAAACCCAATGACTTCCAGCAAACAAAGTATCATTTAGAGGCTTGACAACAGGTTCCAAAATATCGTCCTGATAGTTTTAGCGGCTGTTTTTTTTTTTTATTTTTTTTTATTTTATTTATTTATTTATTTATTTATTTATTTTATTTTTACTATTTATATAAAATTTATCTCCTGGAGCGTAACTTTCTCTTTACCTCTTGTACACACTTTCGCGGAAACTTTAGGCTGAATCTGGAGTCGTCGGTGAATAACACACCAATCCAGTCTTGTAGTTGGCAGAACTAGGTAAACTAGAGGAAGCTGAAGGTATCTGTAAAAAATATTTTAATATTGGTATTTTCCGAATTTATTGAGCAATTTCGGACTGAAGACCTCCTCCAAAATGGTAAAATTTAACCATTTTTTATTCTATTAACCATTTAATTCTATTCTATTAACTATTTAACCATTTCTACCATCCATTAAAGTATTATTGTACGTGTATTATTACATTTAGTAGGGCTTCAAGAATCATTTAAACACCATTTAATATACGTAGTTATTAATTTTTTTTTTTCCAAAATAATTATCAATATATACATGAAAAAAAAGAACTTTCGATCAGAAGCCCCTCCAAAATAAAATCCTGGATCCTCTGGTGCAAGAAGGAATGGAACCACTTTAGAGCACTATTTGATATTGAAAGGTTTTGGAGTTTGGAAAGAAGGACTTCATGATTGATTGAATCGAATGCTTTTGAGAAATCAAAAAGGACCAAGATAGTGATTTCTGTTTGTCTATGGAGAAATCTTGAATCGTTTTGAGTAATTTTCAACAAAGCAGACTGGGTGGAGAACTGGGATTGTAGTAATCCATCCATAGTAATGGAGGAACTAAGGAATACGAGCGCAGCCAAGTCCACCCGAGCTCACCCGAAAGATTGGAACAGACCTCCATACCTAACATGAGCTTATTATAATACGGACTTCTATAATATTATATAAATATACATATGCAGTTTTCATAAATGCTATTACAGCGATATAAATTTTTTTTTAAAACTTATTTATTCACTAAAATTGGAACGATATGAAAACTAAAATTTGTATATATAAGGACAATTAAACAAATAAAAATACCCACAGTGAAATGTAAATAAATATAGCTTTCTTTATCAGTGGCACTCTTGTCAGACTAAAAATATTTTGTGACACTTAATTTATTATAATCAAATGAATAATTGAAATATAGAAATAGAAATAGAAATAGAAAATAATTTTATTCTGGGACAAAGTCCCTTCAGAATAACAAAATAGAACATAATTAAAATACTATATCTGGCCAAAATAAAACAATAATAAAAAAGAGAAAGTAAAGAAAATATTAGTTAAACAAGCTATGTACAAAACACTTAAGACTATGTACAGTAGTAAAAATTATAATTATGACTCTTTTGAAAAAAAATAAATAAAAAATACATTGAGTTCTTCTTTAAAATGAGGTGTGTTTCTGCTAACAAAGAAAAGACAAAGCTGACAATATAAAATGTCAGTGTATTTAAATAATGAATGATATGTAGACTCCTCATTGTCAAATGCTAGCTATAGGTACAGATTTAATGATATACGAATAAAAAAAATAAAAAAAACAAACAAACAATAGATGCGGTCAGTGGCATTAAGAGCAGGCAGATATTGTAAGATCCCTAGAGAAGTTCACAGTATAGAATAGTACTATCGTTTGATGATGACTAGAAATGTATAATAATATCATAAGTTTAGCAAGTATCTGACTGTTTTTGGGATAGGAATTTGGTTTTGAATGTGGATATGGATGGGGAAATGCCGAATTTTGATAGGTAGAGAATTCCAGAAATTGACAGCGCGAGCTATAAAGGAATTTTGAAATGAGGCAGATCTGTGAGAAGGGATGTAGAGGTCAGAAGGTCGAGATCTTGTTGAAAGGGAATGAACTGAGGACTTGAATTGGAGAAGTTTGTAGGCGTAAGAAGGACGATGGTTGTTGATGATTTGATAAAGGATCATACCTAGGAAATATTGTCTTCTAAAGGAGAGGAAGAGCCACCTTAACTCAGTGTAGTGATGAGAGACATGGGAGTACCTCGGGGCACCAATAACAAATCTTACGCAGCTGTTCATCATTCTTTTCAGTCTATCACGGAGCCCCACCGAGAGGCCATCATACACCACACAGCTGTCGTCAAAGTGGAGGAAGATGAGAGAGAAAATTAGGAGTCTACGGGTATGTTGAGGTAGGAGATGGCGGAAGCGATGGAATAGTTTGAGGGTAGAAATTGTCCGTCGGGAGATGTGAGAAATATGGTGATTTCAGGAGAGGGTTTGATCAATAAATAGTCCTAAATTTTTTACCGAGGAGTAGAAGGAGATTGGCTGGTCACCAAGGTTTAGTATGGGAAAGTCGGTATAGGATCTAAGGAGGGGCTTGGAACCAATGACAATGGCCTGAGTTTTGGCAGCATTTAACTTTAATCCATTTACATTTGCCCAGGCACTGATTCGATCAAGGTCTTCTTGAATCTTGGCAAATGCTACCAATAACTCAGACGGAGAAAAGGATAGGTAGATCTGGGAATCGTCTGCATAAAGGTGGTGGGAACAATATATACAGTTGGAAAAGTAAATTACTAGTTTCAAACAAATAAAATATAATACAATATAAGGCTATGAAAAACATATGATAATTAATTGTTTTAAATAATGTTTCTTACCTTCTATAATTTGCTTTCATTTCCCTTTGTCTTAAAATACTTATTTCTAATAAGAAGAGGGTGGTAAGTGAAAGTTGTGTGATGCACACACCGTACCAGATATTTTTTTTGTAAATAAGGCATATTTTCGCTAATTCTTTGTCAAACTTTTATTATCCCTCAGGCAAGAAAATAGTTGTATCCTCTCAAAATTTCAGGAAAAAAAATTATGAAGGAAAAGAAATTTTATTTGTGAATAATTTAAAAAAATATACATTTTATTGTTTATTACACATATTAGTATTTTAAAGTTCATTAAATTCCCTATAAAACACAAAATATAAAAAAAAACACATAAAAATCAGACTATTATTAGGAAAGATACAGCTGATCTCAATTTGTAAACATGTTGGTTACAAACATAAATGAAGTTTTATAAAATTCATTTTATTTTCCTTGGTCGATTTAAATTACCAAGAAAATAAGAATTGAATCCTTCATCTTATGATATGTTGTATCATTTTATTTCCTTATCATTTTGTCATTTGTTCACTGATCAATGTATTACAAGAATTATTCGCTCAGCCCAACTAGTACGATATAATATAATAATTATAGTATTGTTATATGTAAATGATATTTTGATGAAACAGCAAGATAGTTGCTTGGATGATATAAGATTTAAACAATGAGTAAAGTCATTTTGTGAGGCAGACGAATAACTCATTAATTAATTATTATTCATTAACCATTAATTTTGAAGGTTTTAATATACTACTGACTTAAATAAATCTCAGGCCACATAAACAGTTAAAGTTTCTTTCTAAAGTTGCACACTTTTGATTTCGATTGGGGAGAGGGCAAATAATAATAATAATAATATATATATATATATATATATATATATATATATATATATATATATACATAATATATTGTGGGAGTTTTTATTATATGTAAAAATTCTACAAAATTATTGTGAAACAAACAAATATGACATTGAATTCTTAAATTTAATTAAGAATTTTAATTTGTTTATATTAGTTTTACTTATTATATATACTTGAAAATATATTAAAAAAAAAAAAAAAATACGAATGTGATAAGAATATCACATGAAAATTGAGGGGTTTTAGAATCATAAAATCCTAAGATATGTTTACATATATTATTATCTTTGAATATAATTGACAATTTAAATAAAAGCAACATTTAGATATCAATAAAATAGTTTCAAAAATAAAATTCCAGTGACTAATAAGTGAACCATTCAAAATAAATTCAGGGACTAGGCAAGGCGACGTCCTGTCACCGATACTTTTTAATGTAGTGTTGGACAAAATTATGATAATATTCTGGCGAAAGGACGAGACAGGTGCTATAATAGGAACAAAGAAGGCAATGTGAAAGTAAAGTGCCTAGCCTTTGCAGATGATCTAGCCCTACTAGCAGAGAAAGAAGAGGAAGCCATAAAACAGGTAAACACCCTGAAAGAAATATCCGAGAAAACGGGACTACATATCTCTTATGAAAAAACAGAAATTATAACAACAGATACCAACTTCACCAAGAAAATATTGGACACAAAATATGGGAAAATAAAAGTGACCAAAAAGTTTAAATACCTAGGGGAGATAATATGTAGATAAGGCATCAATCGAAGGAAGAATAACCAAACTGGAAAGACTGAACTTCGCCACCAAGAATGTTTACAACATGAAAATTTTGTCCTCAAATGCAGTACAGAAGCAAGCCAGTAATATTATATGGTATGAAAACAGTCAGCCTTCCGAGCCTAGAGAAAATCCTGAAGATTGAGAGGATGAGTCTGAGGAGGATTCAGGCACCCAAGGTAACGCAAGAGGGATACAGACTAAAATCCAATATACAGAAATTTGGAAGATTTGGAAACATCGTCGGACCAAGACTGAGGTTCTACGGCACTGGTCAGGATGAATAGTGAAAGACTGAACAAGGAAATTTTTGACAAAGTTTGCAGCTATAAAAGTATGGGGAGATATGTAAAACAAATAAAAGAGGAACTAGACAGGCTAAATGTCACGGATAAAGATTGCTTGGGTAGAGAGCTTTTTAGGAAAAAACTGAAAGGGGTTCAGGTTCTTGTAGGTGGGAGGGAGAGACGAGGGAGAAAATGGAATAAGGAAGAGCGAGAGGAACAGTCCAGGAGGATGAGTGAGCATTGGAGTAAGAGAAAGGCTGAGGGTGTGAAGAGGAAACGGAAATGATATTTGTGTGGTCCTTGCTGGCCGGTTAATGTAAAAAAAAAAATTGTTACATACCTATTACTAAGCCCTAGCCTAGTCGACTTTTCTTAATCAATTTAAGTGTGCACATTTTATTCATTCATGTAGCTGATTTATTCTTGATTTTAATTTGCTTTTCACCTCAAATTATTAGGAGGGGCGAAAAGATATTCTTGGTCCCTTAATATTTTTATTTGGGGTGGAGGGTCGTTCCCCCCATCTCCCCGAAGTCTGCGCCTATGTTTGCAGTAGGAAACATTGGTTTGTTTTATGATAATATTTGTTGAAACTGGAGTTTTAACTTTCCCTTACAAACTTAACACGAAGACTAAGTATCCATTATCAACCAAACTTGTATATCCATCCATCTCTTCTTCATATTTGGGTAAATAACACCATCACAAGAATAGTAGTAAACACAGATCAACAGAATGATCCGAAGAAAACACTGTAAACAAAAAGTAGAACATTTAATGGCCGATATTTCACAATAATAATTCTCATGTATGTTATTATTACATCATATCACAAAATAGTATGACAATAAGTTGTGAATTATAGAATAAAGATATATCCATAAGGTGGTGAGCCAAATCGCAAATTCAGTAAGAAACAATTCCAACCACTGAACAAAGGGTCAAAGAAAAGAGAAAAGAAAAAGTTAAACCCAAATATTTAAAGAGTATAATAAAATGTTAAAAAAAAAACAATAAATGAATGCATTTATAAAATAAACAACAATATCCCAAATTTAGATATATTCTCTTTAAAATCTCAATTGGTACCTGAGATGATATTTTAAACATGCTAATATTTTAGAAAATTTAATTTAAAAATAATTATGAATAAATACCTGATAACTGAAATCTACCAAAATCTCATTTTTTTTGTATTTGTAACATTTAATGGATACTAGATTAAGGCTTAAAAAGTCCACAATATGCTCACAGAAATATTTTACAAATAAGGATATGAAAAAATCTTTTTAAAAAGTTAAAAATTTTAAATATAAAATATAATGTTTAGCCTCTTCTTAGCCATATTCAGCTTATATAAAATGAAGCAATTTTAAGAATAATATAATACAGTAATCATTGGCAGTATTTATAACATCAAAAAAGTTAAATTTTTATAAGAACTTTAAACATATTATTATCATTAATAAATATTGCCAATGAATTGTATAATATATAGTTTTTAAAGATCTTCTTAAGGCTATATTCTTTTATATTACCTTTCTGAATTCTCTATAAAATAAAAAATAAAAAAATCATCTAAATCAATAACACATATGTTTGATAAAATATTTTCGTTACATAATTTCTTTCTTTTTTTTTTACTCTTATTTTTGGTTTATATTACTTAGGCGTGATCTATTATAGCAAATTTATATTTGGCACAGAGCTACAATGTTGAAATGAAACAAAGTACCAACCCAGTAAAGGAGCAAAATGGAAATACAAAAAGAAATAAGTTCAACAAGCTCCATTTCATTCATTCAATTATTAAGTATTTACAAGCTAAAACAAAAAAATAGAATCACAGGTGGATTTATGGGGGGGAAGGAGAGCTTTGGAGATGAAGCCTTCCCCCCAAAATGGTAAAACATTACCACGTCTTATGAAAAAATTATCTATAAAAGTTTTATTGTTCATGTAAATTACATTTAAAATTAATTCAAGAATCACTTAAACACCATTTTGTATAGGGAATCAGTTTTTTCTTTTTCTTCCAAAGTAATCATCGGTATATTTAAAAAAAAAAAAACCTTTCAGAATGAACATTTTATATTTATATTATATTATAAATTACTGTATAGTAAAGTATATATTTTTATTAAAGCTTGTAATTATTGAATAATTGTACATATTATAAATAGATTTAAAATACAGAGATCTTCTGGATGGATTTGAAATGTAGCTCAGTATTAATTATTAAACTCAAAATTTTGAATGGTGAATGAGAAATTAACTTACTCATGGTTATGGCGGCAGTACATATCACCATGACAGCACCAGACACCTATTGGACAGCATCTTTTTTTTTAGTTTTTTTATTTTTATTGAATAATAATCCAATCAGCCACTGTTGGAGGGCTATAAGTATTAAGGCTAGAAGTTCTCATTCATACAGTATATACAAGTAATACAGAAGTAACTATAAATATAAGAAGTAAATAAATAATACTTATAAAAAAAAGTAAATCAATAGGAAAAAAAATAAATTAATAAATAAAATTAAAAAAAATAAATAAACAAACAAAATAAAATAACAACTTCTAAACACATTCATACCTATATACAATATATACATTCGCCCAGGAATCTCCGAGCCAGGCTTCTCTCCCCACATGTGGAAAGCAAAGCAGGACTCCAGAGATCCCAGTGCCACTTTTCCAGCCGCATCACTAGTATTAAAAGCCAGTGGAGGCTGAAGGAGGGCACTAGAGCCACAGATGCTCAGGACTTGAGTGGAGAAGCTGGCCATTGCCAGGACTCCAGAAGCATATTTACAATAGATCTCGCGGCCACTGCCGTTTTAACCTTCGAGGGGGATTGTAGGGATGGTGGGAGCTGGATAGGGATTGAGCTAGAGGATTTGGATGATGGATAAGGTTCAGGTGAAAGTTTGAGAATCTGGATGGGATGATGTCGAGGACAAATGGGATGTTAAGGTCATGGTGTAGGGTCTTATTTGTGACATAATATGGGGCATTGACTATTGTTCTAAGTACTTTGGACTGGAAGGATTGGATGCGTTTGATATTCGAATGTTTAGCAGTTCCCCACAGTTCAAGTCCGTAGGTCCAGATAGGTTTCAGTATTGTCTTGTAGATTAAAAGTTTATTTTCAATCGAAAGATGAGATGTCCTGCTTAGTAGTCTATATAGCTGGCCATATCGTTGGTTAAGTTCTTGTCTTTTAAGTCTTGTATGTGGGTTCCAAGTTAGTCTTTTGTCTAGAAGGAAGCCAAGGTAACGGACTGTATCTGAGTAGGGAAGTGGTATTGAATTGAAAAGGATTGTGGGACAGGATCTGCGTCGCAGGGTGAAAGTAATATGTTTGCATTTTGCTTCATTGATTTTGATGCGCCAGTTGTTGCACCATTGTTCAATCAAGGAGAGGTGAGATTGTAGGTTTAGAGATGCTATTTGAGGATCTGAGTGGGAAGATAGAATGGCAGTATCATCAGCAAATGTAGCTAGGAAGGTATCGGGATTTGAAGGGATATCGGCAGTGAAAAGGATGTAGAGAACTGGACCCAAAACACTGCCTTGTGGAACACCAGCCTCAACTGGATAGTAAGTGGAGAATTCGGTGCAGCAACGGACTTGGAAGGAACGATTTGAGAGATAGGATTTGAGGACTAGGTATAAGGATTGGGATAAATGGGTTTTGAGCTTGAAAAGCAAGCCATCGTGCCACACCCGGTCGAAAGCTTGCGCTACGTCCAGAAAGGCACCAGTGCAATATTGTTTGTTTTCAAGTGCAGAGGATATATGGTCCACAACACGAAGGCCTTGTTGGACAGCGGAATGTCTTGAGCGGAATCCAAATTGATGAGAAGGGATGTTGTGGGATTCGAGTATGGGTAGGATGCGTTTGAGGAGGATTTTCTCAAAGATTTTTGAGAGGATAGGGAGTAAGCTTATCGGTCTGTAGGATGATGTGTTATTAACGGGTTTGCCTGGTTTTGGAAACAGCACGATTATGGAATGTTTCCACACCAAAGGAAAGTTGGTTGTGCGAAGGATGCAGTTGTATAGATAGGTAAGGAATATGATTGCTTTTTTGGGAAGTTGGACAGCATCTTGCAGGATTGGTTCATCCCGCGTAACCCATAGGTGCAGGCTTTCCTGATATTAAAATATAATAATAATAATAATAATAAAGGAAATAGAGAACCTGAAGGTTCGATGCCGACAACCTCAATCGCTATCTGGACACTTCTCTCCACCGTCACCACTTTAGGTAACCAAATAATTGTAAATTTTTCTTAGAACTCTGTATATTTTAGTTGACTCAACCTCCGGTCAAAATATTCTACGCAATACTTTATTTTCAATAACCTTAAAACGTTGCTCATCGCTTAATATAAGCGACCATGTTATGCATCCGTAAAGAATACAACGTAAGATATTGATTTTGTAAATTCTAATTTTGAAGTTTCAGAAAAGAAGCTGTGAGTTACGTAATTTGACAAAGAAAAATATAACTCATTTTCGCCTTTAAACTAACCTTCATCTCCTCTTCAATTCGTTTTTTTCTAGTTATTCATAGATGCCTAAACTTCTCTACGAGTTCAAACTTATTCCCTTCTATATCCATATCACCGGGATTGTCGCCGTTTTTGCAGCTACCCATATATTTTGTCTTATCCGTATTTATTCTTTAGTATTAGTTCTTTACTGGCTTTCTTCGACGTTGTAATATTTAATTTTGTGGTTTCCGTGTCTTCCTTAAGAAGACCAAATCAACAGCATAATCTAGCCCAGGTATTCACAGGATCTTTCATAACTTGTACATTATATGAGAATATTCTAGAATATTTGCTCATTGCATATTGTTACAAGAAAATTTAAGCAGATAATATATTTAAGAAACGTAAAAGAAAACTAATTCATTGGGCTTTATTAACTTTTTATCAAGATCTCTTGTTGAAATTCTTTTTCACATCTCTATAAATATATATATATATATATAGGGTTGGCAAATAAGTCCTTTCGGTTTTTCTGTTTATTTTCATGTGACTATGATACACTTCTTATCTGATGAATTAATCCCTAAGGTGGATTGTTTATCCAGTTTGTAATATGTCAACAACTATATCTGTTAACTCTTGTTGGAACTAGCTTAGTATCGTGTTTGCTGTTGCACTGTAAATATGGAAGAAAATAACATTTATTATCGGTATATTTTCTTGTATTATTTTAAAAAAGGTAAGCGTGCTGCAGAAGCTCATAGAAAAATTTTGCAGTGTTTATTGAGGATGATGCCTTAACCGAACGCAAATTGGTTTGCCAAATTTCATTCAGGAAATGTTGACATCAATGATGCTCAACGGTCTAATCGCCCACGTGAAATTGAAACGAGCAATGTTAAGGCCATTGTTGATCAAAATCCCACCCAATGTGGTAAGGTGGTAATGAAATGTATGGCACGATCAAGATCTTCTGGGATTTTCAGGATTATTCTGAAGTAAATTTTATCAGAAAATATTTGGTTTCTAGTTAAGTGGGTCTCTGTTGAAGGACGGTGGAGAAGACTTAGGAATAGGAGCTAGAGATAATTTGAGTAATAATGAACTATGATCTGAGGAAAGTTCGTTAAGACGGATAAGGGAACCTAAGCCACTGTGGATGAAAAAGTTAAGGATATCGGGATTGGGGTTAGGATCAGTGGGCCAGTAGGTAGGTGAGTTAGGAGGAAGGAAACTGCTGAAACGTTG